TTTTCCATTGATTTTTAGAGAGTAGAAAGGGAGTGAGAGATACAGAAAGAGAAACATCGATGGAGAGATACACATTGATTGGTTGACTCCTGTGGATGCGGACTGAACCTGCAACAGTCTGCAGGCCAATACTCTATAACTAATCACTGAGCAAAACTGGCTAGGGCCTGTTTAATACATCTAACTCATGCCCTTCTGCAATGACTGAGAATTCCATGAGAACAGAGACCAGACCTGTATTTGTTCATTATTGATTCCCCACTGTTCTGTAAATATTTGTTAGTTTAAAAACTGAATAAATCTATTACAAAATCAGTAGAAAAAAAAAGGGGGGAAATTAATCAGATCCAAATACTTTAGCATACTATGGACTTCTCTTTGTTTTTTGTTTGCTTTTTTCTCTCTCTTTGTTTTTTATTATAAAATAAAATAAAAACTTAACCATGACAATATAACCACCTGGCATCCTCACAAGGTGTGTGGGTGAGGTGGTGACGTGTACAGATGAAAGTCAGCACTTCAGAACACCAACGCAATGACATTGGCAATCCCATAAGATTCTACACTTTCAGCCATCAGTGGGTATTTATAGAAATTATCTAGTGTTAGCTAAACTAATCTTCACAAAATAGAAAAGTGGCTAAAAATGATTACTGCAAAGATCCACAGATTAAATGAACACTAAACTAACAATAATACCAATACTACCAATATCAGGAAAATAGCAGAGTTAACATATCTTCTCCTAATAGAAATTCATAATCAGTCATATTATGATTTCAAAACAATGACTGTCAATCATATGCTACTAAGCAGATACTTAGACAAAATTAAACACACTTAATCTGTCCCTTCAAGGTAAAGTTGACATTTTAACAATGAGGAAAAATAGTTATTTCTTTTTAAACAAAATAAAACAGGAAATCAAGTGTTAAAAGATAAAATTTTAAAAATGGATATCTTTAAATGTTTCTATTGTTATACAGTTTGGGAACCTAAAATGATCTTAGTGTATAAACTATAAAACTACTCGTAGCTAGCCCTAGCTGGCACGCTCAGTGGTTAGAGCATTGCCCACCCACCACAGTGTTGCAGGTTTGATTCCCAGTCATGGGGTTATAGGTTTGATCCCTATCCCTGGCTGAGGTGCATGTGGGAAGCAACCAATCTATGTGTCTCTCTCATATCGCTCTATCTCTCTCTTTCTCTATTCTCCCACTCTCTACAAAAATCAATGAAAAAAAAGTATCCATGGGTGAGGATTAACAAAACCAGAAAAAAAAAAAACGAAAAAAAAAAACTACTTATATCTATACACTTAAATATCCTAACAGAATTTTCTAACTGGTTTTTCAAGATGCCAACTAAAGAATAAACAAGGATTAAGAACACATTTTTTTTTTTTAATTTTAAATGCAGCACCTTTCAATTAGTCCACAAGAACTGACATGAAAGATGGAAATTTATTAGCTGGATTGCAAAATGAATCTGAATATAATCAGTGAATAGAATGAAAAATTAGTACTATAACTTAGTAAATTCAGGTATCTTTTTCAGATATGATAACCATTAAAAGCAAAAATAAGTACCAAATTTACAGAACCTATAATTAGACCTTTGCATATCCATATCATAAGTTGTTAAAGCAACATTTTAAAAAACGAATATTCAATCATATTACTTCTATCAAAAGTAAAATTAATATGAAGTTTTTTATACCTTTACAATGAAATTATTCTAAAATTTAGTTCATTCTCACTTTTCTATTTTTATGTAAATTTACCATGCACATAATAAATTAGTAAAGTAAATACATTTGTAATTTTACAAGAGACATACATTATTGGAATGTATGTTAAACAAAGTTCAGAGATTACTACTTTATAATTATTATTTTTTTATAAATGTTTCTCTTTTTTTTAAATATATTTTTATTGATTTTGTACAGAGAGGAAGGGAGAGAGATAGAGAGTTAGAAACATCGATGAGGGAGAGTCATCAATCAGCTGCCTCTTGCACATTCCCTACTGGAGATATGCAACCAAGGTACATGCCCTTGACCAGAATCGAACCCAGGACCCTTCAGTCCCCAAGCTGATGCTCTATCTACTGAGCCAAACCGGTTTCGGCCAGAGATTACTACTTCAGGACATCAAGAAGCAGTTAAAAGATTTTAGGCCAAAGGAGTAAAAAGAAAAAAATCAGATTTGAATTTGAGAAACATAATCCTAGAGATAATAGGCAGGGAAAAAGTGTTTGGAGGTTAAAGTTATTTTTAAAAAATCCCTGTTACTATGCTAATAGCAGACAACATTCCATAAGCCCCTTGTATCTTTAAAGCCCTTTGCAAAACACATTGGTATATTTTAACAAAGCCTTTCGGCAAAGGAAGGCCTCCTATTCTATGGTCTACCAAAGGCAATGGGGAACAAAGAAAAAGGCAAGGTGGAGACAAGAGAGGGGGCTGAGAGCAACACTGGGCTCTATGACTATTGAAGTGCCTTATTACTTATCTATTAGAGGCCCAGTGCACGAAATTCGTGCATGGGTAGGGTTCCTAGGCCAGGCTGGCAATCGAGGCCTATCAGGTTTCCCACCTCCCTGCCTTCCCCATTCCTCCTTCCTTTGCTCCCTCAGCGCTCCACCGCTCCCTCAGCGCCCTGCAGCCACCACCACCACCATCACCACCACCACCACCACCACCACTGCTACTAATCACACACCAAGTTCCATGCCACCCACTGTGGTCAGCGCACATCATAGCAAGCGATGGAACTCCCAGTCAAACTCCTGAGGGGACAATTTGCATTTTAGCCTTTTATTATATAGGATAGGCTAGGAGTAAGACTAGAAATGATTGAATACTTCTCTTTTCTGATAGTCTAATTTATAATTTTAATAGTTATAAAAGTTATTTTAAAATAATTTAAATAATAGAAACATTTATAAAATAAAAAGTAAAATATTGCCTCCCTACCTCCTACTACTCTACTGAGTATACACATGCCAATCACTGTCAATAACCACAGAAAAAGGTCTAGATTTCCTTCCAGGAATTTTTTTTTAATATATTTTATTGCTTTTGTACAGAGAGGAAGGGAGAGAGATAGAAAGCCAGAAACATTGATGAGAGAGAGTCATCGATCAGCTGCCTCCTGCACACCCCCTACTGGGGACATGCCCACAACCAAGGTACATGCCCCTGACCAGAATCGAACCTGGGTCCCTTCAGTCCCCAAGCCGACGCTCTATCCATTGAGCCAAACCGGTCTCGGCTCCTTCCAGGAATTTTTAATGTATATATACTTTTATGTGTATACATATATGGATGCATATACATTTATATCGTTTTTGTATTATTTAACTATATAAAAAAAATAGACTCATTCATATTGTTCTGAATTGCTTCTTTTCCCTCACAATCTGTAACAGCCATTGTTTTAGGACAGTGCATATGGATTTAGCTCCTTTTTTACAGCTGTAGGGAATGCTATCTTACTGACATGGCATAGTCATTAGCGGTGTTACCTTTACAACAATAAACATGTATCCTTATATACTTCTTTGAGTAGGATTCCTAGAAGTGGAGTACATTTAAAACATTGATGGCAACTACAGAGTGGCTAAGTAATTTATATTTCAAACAATAAAGTTCAGCCATTCATTCTGATTTGTCAATTTTTTTATAGATCCCTAGATTTAGAAAAATATCTCAGAAAATAATCCTATCAATTTGTAGCTGAGTAAATAAAGATTGAGAGAAAGCAAGGTCTGAGCCCAAGATCTCAAAGCCCCTGAGATGAGATAACAGGACAGCAAGAGTTCCACAGTAGTGGTTACTGCTGAAAGTCAGGACAATTTCAGTTAATGGACTTCAAAAATAATGAGTTCCACCAGAACTAATAACAAGTAGGAAAAGGGACATACTAGTACTGTCATCTTTTCCTTGCCTAACTTCAGCAAGAAAAGGAAAAGAGGCAGTAAATTCCTAAAAGATACAATAGCAAAAGGGGACACAGGAGGATTCTCAAGTAGGTGGAGGAATGGGCACCAAGAGCTAAAGGTATCATAAGTTCAGCTGCATGAAGTGAGTGAGTGTGGTGGAAAAGACTCTGACATGGGATGACCTTAGCAAAAAACCTTCCACAGCCTCAGTGGGTTGTATGAAAAGTTTCTTGGTTCTAACTATCTCCATGTGGCATCCAAAATGAATGCCAGTACTGAAACCAAATTCTAAAGAGAAATATCAGAAAAGAACTAACATCCCACAATGAAGAAACATCTTCAAAGAAGATGTTGTTATAAAAATACCACAAAAGTACTTTCCAACAAATTCCAGACCTAAAAGTAAAGCTTTAAAATGAAGCTCCAAGCACAGAGTCTTGAATCCTTTGCTCTGTGCCTGAAGAGGCCCACTTAAAGGAAGGCACTTCTAACCAGATAACACTGTCTTTATTCGACCAGACTTATGGGGCAGAGCAATGAGAAAGCAAGATGACAACTGGACCCTTTGAAATCTGGATGATCTGGAGTAGGGGTCAACACACTTTTTCTAAAAAGGGCCAGAGAATAAATCTATTAGTCTTTGCAGGCCATAAGTCTCTGTTGCAATTATTCAACTCTGCTATTTTAGTGTGAAAATACACCCAGAGACAATGCATAACTGAACAAGCGTGGTTGTGTTCCAATGCAACTTTATGTATGCTGAAATTTGAATTTCACAGAATAATCATTAAAGATTATTGTTGTTTTGATTTTTATAATAATTTAAAAATATAAAATCATTCTTAGCTCATGGGCTATACATAAATAAGCAGTGGGATAGACTTAGCTGGTGGGACACAATCTGATAACCTCTGGTACAGAGCATTTAATTGTCAACTGAACTGAACTTGAATGTTAATGGAAGATGGAAACATCTGAGCCCAGCTTCTAGGAAAGTTAAGAGAGAATGCAAAAAGGTAGAAACATGTTTTTCTTAAAGAGCTTCAGATATTTACCTTAAATCTCTTCTCTTGCTGAATTCCTCTGGTGGTATTGTCCAGGGCAGGTTTTGAGGAAGACATTCTAAAACTTCTGAAGAGAAATCAGAGAAATCCACACCATACTCTGTTAGTATTCCTTCTGTTTCAGGCTCAATTTCACCAGCCTGCCCAAGACTCTTAGCCAGCTGCCTGTGGACAAGACAGAGAGAAAAAAGTGTGATAGTGAGTAAAGGGAAGACAGGTATCCATTTCCTCTCTAAAACTGACCATAATAGGAAGGATAAGAGGTTTTAAAGAGTTTTCTACTTCGGTCAGTTTTAGAGAGGAAATGAATGAGGGGCCAAGCAGAAGAGACAATGATACACGTGTCCTGTTAAAGCCATGACTACTGTGTAATGTTAACTTTCTTCAGGAATTCTGTCCTGGCGACTAGAACCAGACAGCTTTCCTTTGGACTCTAGCAATTGTGTTTTCATGAAGTCAAACTGATACTGTTAAAAGCTTTTGTCAATTTTTTCTCTTGTTTACCTTCAGAGACAATTCTGATCAACCCAGTTTATTGTTAAATCATTAGTTTCACAGTCCCTATACCTTAAGTCATGCTCACTAGATTTGATTCAATGTTTGTATTTCATAATTCTGCAAATTTTTGCCTTAACATTTTGAAGTATTTTATCTCAACACAAAAGTAGTATATATTCAGAGAATTTAGAAAATACAGAAATACACTGAGATGAAATTTATCTGTAATCCAGTCACCAGGAAAAATGCTATTCACATTTGAGGGTTGTGGTCTATTAAAAGTAAGATTGCATTTAATGTGATAGTACTGACATTATGAGTAGGGTTCCACTTTCAGGGGGCAGATCTCACTCTTTATCTGTGGGTCATGTATACATGTCAAAACTAATAGCTCCCATTCTCATATATATTGACATACTACATATAAACCACAATTCTAAAGCTACATGTTAAATACAGACATTCAACAGGAAATGCAATATATAAAGCAGCTGCCTTTGTAAAGGGTTTTGGGGAGACCAAAGATAGCCACTTGTATTTTGCAGGTTTACCAGGTAATCTAGGAATTCACTCTCAGCTCTTCCTACAAGGAGTTTAGATCTGCCATTAGAGCCTTTTCAGGGATAATTCAATTTCTTGGAAGAAGATACCATTTCTGATGTACGGGCAGATGCCTGGCCACCAGAGCCCTTAGCTGCACAATGGTATAAGGGGTGGAGGATGTGACTGCCTCAAACACAGACTTCTAACAAATTCCCATTTTTAAAATTTGAGCGCATTTTTATATTTTAAATCCCATAGACTTAAAATTCTGATAAAATATTAAGAGAATATTTTACAAAAGAGCTCACAAAAAGCTGTCAGTTATTTTTCATCAAAAACACTATTGGCCAGAGAAAACAGCATGAAGTATTCAAGGTAATGAAAAACAAGGATTTGAAATCAAGACTACTATATCCAGCAAGGCTATCATTCAAAAACAGACAGTAAAACAAAGAGCTTCCCAGACCAAAAAAAAAAGGCTAAAGGTGTTTATAACCACCAAACCAAACCAACACTTTGTAAGAAATGTTAAAGAAACTATTGTAATAATAAGAAGAAACAGAGACATAGGCATAAAGAATTAAAATGGCAATAAATAAGTACCTATCAATAATCACCTTAAATGTAAATATATTAAATGCTCCAATCAAAAGACATAGGGTTGCTGAATGGGTAATATAGCATGACCCTAATATATGCTGTCTAAAAGAGATCCACCACAGAACAAAAGACTCACACAGGATGAGAGTGAAGGGATGGAAAAAAATTTCCATGCAAATGGAAATAAAAAAAAATTTTAAAAAAAGCTGGGATGGCAATATTCATATCTGACAAAATAGATTTCAAAATAAAGGCCATAACAAGAGGATATAACCCTGTTAAAAATATATGTACCGAATATAAGAATACCTAAATATTAAAAAAAAAAAAAACTTCTGGAGGATATTAAGGTAGAGATCGACAGCAAAACAGTCATAAATGGGGACTTTAACACCCACTGACTTCGCTGGATAGATCTTCCAGGTAAAAAAAATTAGGACACAAAACAAGTCTCTACAAGTTCAAGAACACAAACTATATTGATCATCTTCTTAGATCACAATGGAATGAAATTATAAGTCAATAATGCTAAAAACACTCAAACACATGGAGGCTAAAGAACATGTTATTAAACAATAAATGAGTAACCAATGAGGTCAGAAAAAAGAAAAGACTTCCTGGGAACTAATGCAAATGAACACACACAACCTAAAATCCGCAAAAAATTAAAAATGGAACTGTCATTTGACAAAGTGATCCCACTTCTAGGAATATATCCTAAAAAAACAAAACACCAATCAAAGAATATATGCACCCCTATGTTCATAGCAGTGCAATTTACAAAGGCTAAAATCTGGAAACATCCCAAGTGCCCATCAGTAGATGATTGGATTGAAACTATGTGGTGCATTTACACCAGGAAATACTATGAAGCTATAAAAAAGGAGGATCTCTTTCCCTTTGAGATAGCATGGAGGGACCTGGAGAGTATTATGCTAAGTAAATAAACCAGTCAGAGAAAGATAAATATCACATGATCTCACTCATATGTGGAATCTAAAGAACAATATAAACTGATGAACAAAATAGATCTAGAGACATGCAAGCATGGAACAGACTCTCGAATCTCAGAGGAAAAGTGGGGTGGTTAGGTTGATGGGTGGGAAAAGATTAACGAAAGAACTTATATGCATTTATGCATAACCCATGGACAAAGACAATAGTGTGGTGAAGGCATGGGGTGGGCGGTAGGTGTGGACCAGAAGCAGTCAATAGGGGAAAAAAGGAGACATCTATACTTTCCACAATAAAGACAAATTAAAAAAAGAAAAAGAAAAAAGAAAGGCAAGTCATATTATATAGAAGAAACTCATATATTATATTGACACATATGAAATTGCCAATGTATTTGACCTTTTTACCTATAAAACACAATTTCACATGATTCTACCTTATAGTATCAAAAATCACATAAGATAATTATCCATACATATAATCAGATAGCATAGATAGTTTCTTAGAGAAATATGAGCAATGAGGTACATTTTATAGAAGTTATTAGAGAATTAGACTAATGTTAAAAGAAATACATTCTTACATGGGGTGGGAGTCTCAGTATCAATCTTTGTGAGGCACACTTAAAACACAATGTCCATTCTTACATAATGAGGATGGGGTGGCCAACAATGATTACCATATACCTGAAATAGAAAAGGGCCTAAACATTTAAACAGAAGGCATTTTATAATGTCCAACTTTTAAACAATAATAAAACATCCATGGGAGACAATTTGTGATTCAACCCCTGGCAGTATTTCTGGATTGACCTCTGTCTGGGTCTATCGGTCCTTTCTAGCCTATGCTTAGATCCTGCGTTCCCTGTGGCACTCGATACAGGTTTGTGGGAATGGGCTGCCCCAGAGCTGGTTCTCCGATGATCACTCCCCACTCTGATTCCCAGGTTCCAAAAAAACAACTTTCCCCTGCAGTCTCCTAAGGTGTCCCCAACTGGGTGATCCTAGGTATCGGGCTTAGTAATCAGAAGCAAGGATTTAAGGATGAAAAAGCACAAGTGTGCGAATTCCAGGGTTGTGCAAGTCTACACAGTCCTTCCTCCCCCCTTGTGTCCAACAAGCCAGTACACTTTTAAAATATTTAGGCTGTCCTTCTGTGCCAGATCAAAATGGGTTGCATTTTAGAGATCCCCTCAGTTTAGCAGCTCTGAGAATTCTTACCAATTGCAGCAGCATGGATGGACCTGCAGAGCATTATGTTAAGTGAAATAAGCCAGGCAATGAAAGAAAAATACCACATGATCTCACTCATTTATGGAAAATAAAGAACATTATAACCTGATGAATAAAAAGATAGATACAGAGGCAGTAAAACACCAAACAGATTGCCAAATTACTGTGGGAAGGCTGGGGAGTGTTGGGGAGAGAGGGAAGTAGATCAACCAAAGGACTTGTATGCATGCATATAAGCACACCAATGGGCACAAGACACTGGGGAGGTGGGATGAGGGCATGAAACAGGGGTTAAGGGAGGCTGAGGGAAGGTCAATGGGAAAATAAAAGTAGATATATGCACTAATATATGTAATACTTTAAACAATAAAAACATCCATGAAGAAATCATTATTCAAGGATGAGGGAAAGAGGAGCCATCCCAGGTGTTCTATTAAAAAGTACTACATTAAAAAGGAAAAAGGAATAAGCAAAAGAAATGGCAGAAGGATAAAACATAGTCTACAAGTATGTGGTCATAGAAATGATTGTCTTGAGAATCAAAGACAATCTGATAATATAATCAAAACAACCTGATAATGTAAATAAGAACAGGCATATGAGAATATCGTCACTAGAAGGGAAGAGTTCAAAACAATAAATAGATTTCACAAAAGGAAATAAAAACTAGTGTTTTAGACCTAGGAAATAAGTTAAAAAAAAAAACCAAAAAAACCATTACAGACGTGCAGGTAATACTGGAGATAACTAATGAAGAACTGATACTATTTGAAAAAAATAAGGATCCCAAAGGAGAAGCTTAAGAGAAGTGAGGAAAATGAAAATGAAAAATATAAAGAGTTAAAGAAAAAGATTACAAAGAAAACAGTTACAAAAGCCAGATAGAGATCCAACACTGGCATAACTGGTATTCCTGAAGGAAGGAAATAGGCATATGGAATAGAAACATTTTACAAGATACTATTTAAGACAACTTTCCTGAAATAGAAATTTTATAGACAGAAAGAGTATACCATGTTACAGGAAAAATGAATACCAAAAAATCATCACCGAAATATATTCTAGTGAAGTTACTAGAGTTGGAAGATGAAAAATTTTAATGCAAGAACTCAGGGAATATAGTTCTCGCAAAACTTTTCTGAAAAACTACTGGATGAAGAACTATGGCCTACCAAGATATGGAGGAATTTCTCCAAGAAGACTGGTGCCAAGTATCGGATGACTTCTGTGGAGTGGGGAGGTGAACATAAAGGAGAACAAAAAGAAGCAGGTGAAGACAGATCTAACATTAATTGTCAGAACAAATCATACCAGTCATTGGACCATTACTGAAATTAA